CTTATGGGATGACGAGGTGACACATGGCGGGAAGGTAGCCAGGAAGGTAGTTGCAAGCCAAGGAGTGACAGGGTCCCTGCAGCCCCAGGAACTGAAGAGACAGGGGTCCTCCAGGGTCTCGCGAGGAGCTCGGCTGGCCAGCACCCCGACACGGCTTCTGCCCCAGGACTGTGAGTTGCGTGGCCGTGTCCAAGCCCCCCGTGGTCAGGGAGTGGCTCGGATCCTGAGCTCTTCCTCGCTCCTCCCAGGGACGCTCAGGACAGCAGGCTGGGGCAGGGCACCCAGGAGGCTGAGAGAGCTCCGCAGGCTCCTTGGGGGCCCCAACTCCCCAGGGACAGCCCTGCCACGTCCCACCCGCACCCCCAACTCGGTCACACCCCGTCACCTGCTCTGCTCCTCTGCCGGGGCCTCGTGTCCCTCCCGCCTCTCTGCCTGCTGCTTCCTGTGACCTGGTTTACCCCCCCACTAACACAACTGGTCCCAGCTGAGCATGTGGCCCTCAACAGATCAGTCACTTCACGGCTCTGAGGTCAGAACTCTTATCCCTGGTTTTCACATGACGTAACCGAGCTCAGGACCACACAGTGCCCTTGAGTTCTCCAAGGCTGGGGTCCGTGCCATGGGAGCCTGGCACCCATTTCTGGGCCAGGCATACTGTAGGTGCTTAATGAATGCTCATTAGTGTACTAGATCCACTCTCCATGCCTGAATTCGTGTTTATGTATTTTGAGGCTCTCAGGGTGGAGATTTGGGGCTCCTGCGGGATGGGTAGACGTTCCACCACTGAGCCCCATCCCTCTGAGCCATACCCACAGAGCCATGCCCCATGGAGGCACCTCCACCAAGCCACGCCCCTCTGAGGCTCTCCCCCTACTAAGCCACGCCCACTTACCCACGCCTCTCCCAGCCACTTCCTACCAAGCCACGCCCATCAGGGCCACGCCCCCAGTGAGCCACACCTCACTGAGCTATACCCACAGAGCCACACCCCTATGAAGCACTGCCCCCTATTAAGCCACACCCACTGAACCACGCCCCTCCAAATGACTTCATACCATCAAGCCACGCCCCTCTTAGCCACGCCCACTGAGCCATGCTCCAGGAGTCATTCCCATCCACTGAGCCACACCCAGCTCCTGGGTAGATCTCTGGTCACTGTCATGACACGTGCGGCTGGCGTGTCTCCGCCATGTTCTTAGTGGTATGTGCCGCTGAGCCCCGTCCAATGTGAAGCCACTATTCCCTTTGTCCTTCTTTGTTGCACTGGAAAGTGCCAACTGAGTCCTGTGGGCGGGGACACTGGGCGATGCGTGTTTCCAGTGGCTACTGCAATAAATGACCACAAAACTTCCCACCTGCTCTCCCTGCGCCCCAAGTTTGGGCTCTGGAAGTTTCATTTCTTGTTAGAAACAGTCACCTTCCCAAGAGAGACCGCAGCAGAGCCAAGACAGCCCGGCAGGGAGGAGCGCAGCATCTGCCCCGCGGTTTGCTCTTTCCACCTATAGGATCCGCACTGAGAGCCCAGGGCAGCTGGCCAGGGCTGCTGCATTCTGGACAGCACTCGGGCCCCCTTCCGTGGGTTGACAGTGGAAAATTGAACACCCTGTCCGCCACTGACCAAGAGGCCTGGCCACCCTAGGGCTCCCAGTGCCACCGGCTCATGCCCACACCTTTCTCAGCTCGCTAAGGCTCGGGGACGCCTGGGGCCAGCGACTGGAAGCCAGGTGAAATCCCCTAGGGCTAGCTCTGCCTGCGTCCCCTGGGAGTCCCTGGTGGACAGGTGACGTTGCAGACCTGGTCTCTGCCGGGGTGAGACGTGGCCCAGGAGTCCTCAGAAGGATACTGTTTGTCCCTCTGGAGCCAAAGCCAGCGGCACCCAGAAGCACTTCTCTGTCTCGCTCCTGGGGTAGGATCCCCACCCCCGAGGGCCCGAAGCCCACCCAGCGTCCCCGTGGCCCTCTGGCCTCCCTCGGAGAGCTGGGCAGAGCCCTCTAGCTCACACAGGGAGGCAGGAACGGGTGCGTTTTCCCTCAAACTCCTCTTCTTTTGCTGGATTCCTGGATGCTCTGTCCCAATATTTTGCCTGTGGACATCATTGCACCTGGTAAAGGTCAAAGCACCTGTCCAGCTGCAGGCACCTCTGGCTGCCCTGGCCGTAGAGCGAGGCTCTTACTGAGGGGAGCGGGTGTCTCCCTGTGTGGCCTGATGGCTGGGCCGACGCCCAGACCTACCTGCTTAGTCCCTGGATGCCACCACACACCGGGCATCCACCATGACGGCGGCTCCTGCTGCGGGCTGGGAAGGACAAGCAGAGGGGGTGCTTGCTCCTTGGCGGGTGCCACAGAGGCCCCCGTTGTGCTCCTGGTCCGCCCTGCACAGCTGGGCAGTGTGGCTGGTTCCTGCACCTCTTGGGGGTCTCAGAGCCTCTCCCTAAAGGCAGAGTAACAACAGGAGCCTGGGCGATGCCCATTAGCAGCCATGGGGGAAGATGTTTGTACTCTACTGTCCGTGAGTCATTCGACAAACCTTGGCCAGGCACTGACTGCATGCCAGGATCTGTTCTGGGCACTTAGGAGGTGGCAAGGACATGCAGGCAGCGGATGTTCCAGAAGACAGGTGAGCTCCTCCTCGAGGCTCCGGGAGCCCTTTCTGACTTACTCTGGAAGCTGCCCAGGCTCTGCAGTGCTTGATGCCCAGTAAACCACTGGCTCTTTTCTGTTTTTAACGGGCAGTGAGGACCTGGCGCCTGGAGGGAAGGCCCAGAGACAGTGTGGGCAGGGAAGGGACAGTCCCTGGGTAGCAGAGGTGACGTCCTAGGCTTCCAGGCACCAGTGCTGACCGGCCCCAGGAAGGCCTCTCGGTCCCCTGGGTGCTGACCGCCCACCCTGAGAACAGCGAGCCTGTGGCCAGGCTTCCCGGTGCAGCCTGACCTGCAGCCAGCAGAGACACTGGCGTGTGGAAGTCCAGGGCACGGCTCAGCCACGCAGCGAACAGGCCGATGCAGGCAGGCAGGTGTGCGGACAGTGGGGTGGACACCAGGCTGGGGCTGGCTTCCTCGAGACTCAGCGTCTACCAGGACAGGGGTAGCGTTCCCGCCTGGGCCTCTGTGCCCCTCGGCTCTGCCCTCGACGAGGTGCCAGGTGGCCCCTGTGGGACATGCTTCTGTCCCTGGTTTAAGTGGAACAGGCCAGGCTCGGGAAGGATGTGGGGAACGTGAGGGAAGGGGCCGTTGTCCACCCGGCTGGGCAGGCACGGGCAGCAGGAGGCAGCCGGGCTTGGGAGACCAAGGCCCGCGGCTCCAGTCCTGGCTCCACCCGGGGCCCAGCAACCTCGACGTGTGCTCAGCCCCTCTGGGAAGTAGGGACGGGCATGGCGTCCTCGCAGCCCTGAGGACGTCACTTGGACATGGCCAGGGCGAGGCCACGGAGAAACAGAGGGGGGCTCGGGACCCCTGCACACCCTAACCCAGTGGGCCCCTGGGGCACCCGGGCCGGGGCATGGGGGGACAAGAGTGCCCCACCCACGGGAAGCCCAGCTCCCTCCAGCTGGTGTCCTCACATGTGACAGCAGGGACCGAGTTACAGAAGCCAGAGTTGACCCCTGCCACCTCCTGGCCTCAGATCCAGTCCGTTGTTGAGGAGCAGCAAGGCCTGGTGCAGGGCCCAGCGGGCACATCGGAGGGCCATCGTGGGCCACCGCTGGGTCGGCGGGGGCTCCTGCTGTCCGGGGGCCAGGGCCTGAGGACACTGCTGCTCAGGCTGGGATCCACACATGAGGTGGGAGGCACAGGACGAGGGACGGGGAATGGAGGGGCGGCGCCCCAGGGCGGCCAGGCGGTGGGGGCTGCGGGCGGGGGAGGGGCACCGTCCTCTGCGGATCTGAAAGGTCCAGCGTGGCATGGACACTGCTGCTGCTCCGGTGCTCACTCGGGTGGGAGCGAAGGGCGGTGCCAAGCTCAGGGGCCACCAGCCAGCACACCAGAGGCAGAGGGGCACACCGGGCCACCGAGACCCTGTCCCCATGGACGGACTGGCGTTCTGGCTGGAGGACCTACTGTGGGGAGCTCCCGGGACGCTGCTGCCAGCCTGGCCCTGCCCACCCTTCCCTGAAGGAGGGTCCCTCTGTGACCATGTGTGCTGCAGTCTGGCTGGGCACAATTCAGGAGCCACTTGTCAAAAGAAATGAACTTTATTTTTAGAACCACACACCGCACCACACAGCTCCTCAGGAAAACCTTCAGAGCCCAACTGCCACCACCGGCTTCCACAAGCCTCTCCACCTCCCCCACTCCTCCTGCTCTTGAGGCCAATTGGCTGGGTCGCGTGGGCGGAGCCAAAAAAGTCCCCCAATGAGCAGCTCCGTTGTCTGAAAGGGCGGGGAAACAGCCCAATGAGCATCACCGCAGAGGAGCCAATCAGCTAGAAGTTGCTGGGGAGGCCTGGCACATCCCCGAAGAAGTGGAGTCGGGGTGGGGTGAGAGCAGAGGGTCCCAGAGACCCCTGCCTGCTCCAGCCTCCGGGTCCCCCTCCTGCCCTCTCTTGCTGCACCTGTCCCAGCACCCAGCGCCGGGGAGTCAGGGCAAGTTCAAGGTCGATCCTGTTTGTCTATGGGCACCTTTCTGCACCGGCCCGGGATCCCTTGGGAGGCAAAACTGGAAGTGACCTCTCTGCAGTGACTGTCACATGGGAACCCCCTTCTTCTCCATTGAGAATGTTCACATCAGGGCTGTGCATACAGTCAGCGCTCCATAAATGCACACCCCACAGAGGGTGTCTCTAAAGAGGGCCCGGAGTGAGCCGGGCTCTGAGACGGCCTGCGGGGCCTCCCCGTGGGAGACGGCGGGCCTCGGCGGGGCTCCCCCAGGACTCGGGAAAGAAGGATATCAGCGTGCTGGAGCCTAATCAAATCTGGATGACTTCACTGGAAACCTTTCCGCGATCCCATCAGCGCTGAAGGATCACAACAGCAACAAATTAGACCCACAGGCTCGGGAAAATGTGCCCGATTTAGAAACGGATGTTACAGTTTATTAACCAGCTAAATTAATTCGATTTTGAACCACTGTTAAATATACATTAGGATGTATCGCCCAGGAGCCCAGCGGGCAGGGGGGAGGGCGGGGGAGGCTGTCCTGACTCCCTCGGGGCCTGCGTGAGGGGTCCAGGCTGGGGGGAGGGAGGCCCAGGGAAAGCCCGGGCACCGCAGGCTCCACCCCAGGGCAGGAGCCAGGAGCTCCGTATCTCGTATCTGAAAGTCTCATTCATTCCTCCTTCAAGTACAGCTGGATCCAGGCGCTCAGGGTCAACAGGAACCGGCTTTTGGTTATTCGTGTTCTTGTACAGGGACTTTACTCTTGAGGCAGGATGGCCATTGGCCATGTTCATTCTGCCCGCTCCCCTCCCAGGACCTGCCAGGTAAAGGTCCTGGGTAAATGTCCCTTGGATGGCTAGGGTCAGGGCCCCTCTGATGGGCCAGATGCAGCTCTCACTGGCCTGAGCTGGAGAGAGGGGGAGGGCGGCCGGGAGGGGCGCTCTCCAGCCAGGGACCTTCCCCCTCCAACCTGCTCATGTGCTGTGATAGCTCAGTCTGACCCCAGAGCAGGCCATACCCTGTCCCTGCAAGGTGGGGATGTGGTGGCTCACACGCAGCCCATCTCCTGCCATCTGACCCCACCCTGACCCAGACAGACCAGAAACCCCAGGTGGCCTGCAGGCTGTGCGCTGGGTGCTGGGTGCGAGTCGGCCCGTCTCCCCTCCAGGGGTGCTTTGTGCAGTGCCCAACACCAACTCCCTGCTGCAGACCCAGTTGTGCCCAGTCCCTGGCCCTCCTCTGCAGGTCGCCAAGACAGAAGGTTCCGGACACTTCTGCTCTGCGCTGCCATGGTGAGTGGGCATGTGGGGCGCCAGACGAGGTCAGGGCACGGCTGGGCCTGGGAGTTCGTACCTGCCGTGCGCCATCTTCTTCCCGCCTGAGCTGGTGGCCAGAATCCCACGCCACCTGCCTGCCCTCTGCAGGAGTGTCTTAGCCACTCGTCCCTGTCCCCAAGGTCACTCAGGCTACTGGCCCAACGCACGGACAGCACCAAGTTCACCACCTCCGCCCAGGTCTGGAGGAAGGAAGGTAAACAGCAAGCACTTACTGTCTGCAGGGCCAGACCTGCTGTGAGAGCAGCCCAGGACGGGCCTGGCCGTGGCCCTGCCCTCCGTCACTGGGCAGAGAGCTCCCGCCGTGGGCTGAACGCGGCTCTGAGGCCACACTGTCCTGCGGGGTCCCGTTGGTGGCCGAGGAGCAGGAAATGTGGTGCTCACGGCTCTGGAGGCTGAGGCCCGAGGTGGAGGCCCCAGAGATTCCACTCTGGTGAGGGCTGCTGCTCCCCAGATGTCCTCACGGGGCGGAAACTGGCCAGGGAGTTCTCTAGGGTCCCGGCTTGAAGTTACCACCCCCCGTGGGGGCCCACGTCATGACCTTGTCCCCTCCCACAGGCTCTGCCTCCCGGCACCGTCACACACAGGGTCAGGACCCCAACCTGCGAATGTGGGGGAGACACAAACACTTAATCTGTAACCCACGCATCGGAAGACACAGCCGGCCTCCCCCACGGGGCCTTTGCACCTGCTGAGCTGGTGGCCCACAATGCTTTGCTTCCCCCTCCAGCAGCAGTGCATCCCCAGGGACCCTGGAGCTCCTGCTGGGCCAGCCCTGCCTCCCGGGGCCGGGGTGCCTTCTCTACTGCGCATGCCCAGGGCTCAAAATGGAAGCCCATTTACATCATGGAAAGGGCAGGAAGCGAGGGACTTCTGGCCTCGGCCACTGCGTGGATAAGCCTTGAGGGTGTTATGCCAAGGGCAAGAAGCTGGCAGCCAGGGGTGCCCATGAGGAGACCCAGCTTAGAGGAGAGGAGGGTTAGGGCGCCATGGCCAGGCCAGGGGAGTGGCGGTTACTGCTCCACAGGGCCAGGGACAGGGCCACTGTTCAGGGTGACAGGAGCCCCAGGAACTGTCTCGTGGCAAGTGTCACTAACACCAGACCTTGGACCTCACAGTGGCTAATGCAGTGGTTTTTATGCAATAGATATTTTACCACAATAAAAATGAAGAAAAGCTGTGTCTGTAACACCCCCCCACCCCCCAGCCGGCCTGGCTCCCGATGAAGATGAGGTGGAGCAGAAAAGGAAGAAAGGACAGAAGGAATCCGAGGAAGGACAAAGGGACCAGGACGGAGGCCAGACCTGAGCAGCCACCCCGGCCCCTGGCCCGTCCCTCCTGACAGTCACTCCTAGCTTCCTGAGAAATCTGTAAATCTTCGTGCTATGAAGCCCTGCTGGTCTATGAAAATCACCTGGTTCGCCTGCTTACGAGAGCTGGTCGGCTCCGGCATGGACTTTCAGATTAGATCACGCAGCAGTATATTTTAAGAAACCTATGATCCGGGCGCGTGTACCTGTTGATCAGATCAAGGAGACAAGTGACATCCTGAAGATCCCAGAGGCCAGGCCTCCACCAGCGCCACCAGCGCCCAGCTGATGCCGTTTCCACATCCTTCCCATGGCCGCCCCACACCAGGTTTCCTTTAGAGGAAGAGCCTGAGGTCCCAGAAGCCCTCTGTAGGACGGATGCAGCCTGCACTCTGCTCTGAGGATGCAGCCGCCACCTTTCACTTTCTAACCAGCCCTTCCTCTTGCTGAGCCCTGACTCAAGTAGGGGACTCAGGGATGCCTTTCAGAGACAGAACCCTCCCCGGTACAGTTCTCGGCCCAGAGACCCTCCAGATGGCTCTGTCCCTGCTCCCAGCCAGCCTGTCCCGTGAGAACTGCTGTCCCGGGCTCTGCTCCAGGGACCGTCTGTGCTGGGGAGGGGACCAGCTGAGGGGAGAGCCAGCAGGAACCGTGGGTGGCCCTGTGGGTCGGCGAGATTACCATCCAGAGGCCCAGGTGCCGGGCAGCCGGGCCAGGACTGAGGACAGACTGGGACCCAGCTCTGTCCTGCCAGGAGTCCTGCCGCAGCCGTGGAAGAGCTGGCTGGGGGCCAGGGCCGGAGCTGCAGGCCCAGGAAGCCCTGCCCCCAGATCTGCCCTCCGCCAGCTCGGCCCAGTGAACCCGAGCTGTGAGCGCCACTCCCACAGGGTGACAGGACGCCACCTGGCCAGTGTCCGGCTGGCCCTGCCCTAGGAGCCACCAGGCCCACATGCTTGGCGCACAGCAGAGACATTTATTGAGCACTTACACGCCGCATGGCAATGACCCCTGGACCCCAGGGCCCCAGGGCACAAGTCACCAGCTCTGCTTGGCTCATGGTGGGCAGCAGGCTGGTGGCACTGGGCTGTCCTGGCCACTCATCTGCTGGGCTCTGCTGGCTGCCTCCGGACACGCCCCTGCAGCCGAAGGTCAGCCGGTCCAGCCTCAGGCCTGCCGGTCCAGCCTCGGCCCCTCCACACGCCTCCCGCTCCCTCCAGGCCCGAGGCTGTTCTGGAGCACAGAGGAGCTCACTCCAGGGTCTCGAGAGCCCCCCGCCCCCACACGTTCCCTCACGTCGGCTTCGCGCTCCTGGCGGAAGCCGAAGCCAGAGGTCAGGGGGCAGTGGGTTCCGCGATGGGGCGGCTGCTCAGGGGCCCTGGTCTCTGGGACCACCGGGGCCACCCGCGGCACACTCTGCAGCAGGCAGGGGCCCCTCCCAGCCCTGTGGGACCCCTGCCCCAGGTCACAGGACCAGACAGGCCACTGCCCACCCCGGGGCCCATAGTCAGGGAGGGGACGGGAGGCTGTCCCCGTGACCCAGTGTGGGGGCTGGCAACCGTGAGAGGCCACCAAGAGTCTGGTGCTGGGTGAGTGACAGGGCCACAGGTGGGAGATGAGGACAGACGGGGAGGGGACCGGCTGCAGGGGGCTTGTCACGTCACACTCTGGCTTTTTCTGGGGTGGGAGCCGCAGGGACCCTCGGGTGGAGCTTCCCTGCCGCGGGCCTGGGGCTCTGACAGGATCCCCCTGTCTGACGGTGACCAAGGGACTCAGGGGGCCACGTGGCCACCAGGAGCCTGGGGGCTGGATCGCTGCACCGTCCAGGTGTGCCACCATGGCCAGAGCCTGGTGAGGCTGGGGGTGACTGGAAGCTGAGGCAGGGGCCACCAGGGGGCTGGACACACACACACAGGACAAAGAGCAGCAGGGACGCCGGGGGCTCTGGGGCCACCACAGTAGGTGGCCCTGTCCTGGGGGACAGAGAAGCAGTCCGGTCCACCGTCCACATGGGGCAGGTCCAGTGGGCCGGGAGCCCGCTGTCTGCAGAGCCCTCGAGGCCCTGCCCGGCGCCCGCCTGGTCCTGGGGACACAGCGAGCCAGACACACCCACCCGCGGGAGCTGATGGCCGGCTGCCCGGTGCCAGAGATCACCAGGAGGACCCCAGGGCCTCTAGGATGACCCCAGGGACCGAGGCTCAGACACAGAGGTCCCTGCAGCGCGGCTCCCTGGACCCGTCCTTGGTCATCACCGTGTCATGAGCCCGGGGTGGGGGGGCTCAGCCCATGCTCCACGCCACCCCTGCCACGCTCAGGGCGGTGCACGCATGTGAGCGTGAGTGTGTTCACGCGCGTGTGTGGCCCAGGTCGGATCATAAACCAGGCCTGGGGAGGAGGATGGGGGTGTCCTGAGCCCATGGGGGACGCCTCTGCTTAGCTGCTTGAAGCTGTGGGTTCTTGAGCAAGACTCCTAACCTCTCTGAGCCTCGGCTTTCTCCTCAGAAAATGCAGGTATCACTGTGCCCATCTTGTCACACAGCGGGTGGGGGCAGCGACTGGGTTCTCTAGGTGATGAAGCTTCAGCGCAGGTCACGTGCAGCTTACCTCTGAGTCCTGAGGCCACACGCTGTGGGCACGTTACCCCAGAGCAGCGTCTCTGGCCCCTCCAAACTTTTTCCTTTTTCTTTTTTTTTTTTTGAGACAAGGCCTCCCTAAATTGTTCAGAGCCTTGCCAAGTTGCTGAGGTTGGCCTAGAGCTTGCGATCCTCCTCCCTCAGCCTCCCAAGTCTCGGGGATTGCAGGCGTGGCCACCACACTGGTATGTGACTCATTTCAAGAGCCTGTGAGCCACTGGCTGCCGCCTCGTGGTGGCCATTGTGTTTACCAAGAGCACTGAGGTCTGCGTGACCCACCAAGGAAAAGGGAGAAACCGCGGTTGTTTGTTTAGCTGGGATTTGGAGTCATTCGTTACTGCGGCAAAACCTAACCTGTCCTGACTGGTGTACCGTGGGCGCGAGAACACGTGAGGTCCAGGCGCGCCGCGGGGGGCCACAGTCAGCCTTACTCTTACTTGAACAACCTCCCAGAGCAAATGAGCAGGTCAGGACGCTGAGTGGGGTGGATGGACTCTGAGGAGGCCCCACAGTCCCCCTCCTGGGATCTGCAGCGTGAGCTCCTCCCTCCTGCTGAGTGTGAGCCAGGCCGCGGCATTGTCACTCATGCTGTGAGCGACTCTGTGTCTGTCCCATGGGAAGAGTCCTCTGCTGGCCTTGGGGAAGTGGGGAGTCGTGCTGGGAGGCCCAGGGCACGGATGGACGGCAGGGCCACCGCAGCTGTTCCTCCCACCTGGCTCTGGGCTGACGTCCAAGGGCAGGGCGTGGCAGGCTGCGGCCTCTGACGTCGCCCTGACTGGCGGGGGGCCAGCTTGCCCAATGTCCTCCCGTGGACCCCAGTCAGGCTGCGTCAGGGCCACCCCAGGGGCCCCTGGTAGCTTAGTCAAAGACCTTGTCTCCATGCGGTCGCATTCTGAGGTCCTGGGGTCTGGGCCTCAGCTGGGGAACCCTGGGGAGAGCGGCCAGCCGGCTCCATGGCCAGGCCCGGGTCCTGCCCACGGCCAGGTGAGCAGGAAGCAGACCCCCAGGAGCCCCGGGAGCCCCCAGCCCCCGACACCGAGCAGAGAACGCCCTGGGCCAGGCAGACACGTGTCCAGGGAGGACTCGCAGGCTGTGCTGCCCCGGGGCCTCTGCTCCTGGGGTCGGGGACCCTTAGGGGTGAGGACCCGGTGTCAGGGTGCTGCCCCGGGAGCTGCCCCGAGCCTGCTGCCTGCCTGTGGGGCTTCGGTCAGCTGCTGGGCAGCTGCCATCTTCTTTGCAGCCTGAGCGGTAGTGGCTCCTGTCCCCCTGCAGCTGGGGCGTGCAGGGCAGAGAGCTGATGTCACCATTACAGTGGACTCGGCCACCTTCACGGTCAGCGTCACTAACCCAGGATGCCCTGCAGCGGAGTCACCGGACCATAGGGACGGGAGGAGCCCACGGAGAGCTGCCCTGTCCCCTGGGGCGGGAGGAGTGGCCACGCTGCCCTCCGAGGCACGATGCTCCGACGCTGGCCATGACGCTGACCGGGATGTGGAAATGTCCCCACGTTCCCGAGGGGACCACAGAGGCTCCCACGTCCCAGGGCTTTCCCAAAGTGCCCCGGCTGCCGTGCCAGGATGGTAGAGCAGGCTGGGAACACCACGGCCCGTCCCGTGGTGGCCTCGTGTGACCCCCCCGTGGCCAGGCAGGGCAGAGAATGGGGCCCCGGCGCATCTCAAGGGACTGGTTAAGCTGAGAAGTTTCTGGAACACGGTGGGACGGCTGGGAGGGCCCAGGTGATGTTTTTCGGCTGAAAATGTCCCCTGGGTAAAATCCCAGCCCTCTCCCTCCGTCTGCGGCGGGGACCTGGCTCCCTGAGACCCCAGCACAGGGAAGGCGCTGCCCGGCTCCGTCCTGGAGTGGCCCCCAGCCCCCCCCGGGGAACTGGGGCCAGCGGCGGTGCGTGGGTACTGCCCCGTAGGTGCTGGGCACACCCTGCCCCGCCTGGCCGGCTCTCCTGGGACCCGGGGGGCAGGCGGGGAAGGAGGAGCCAGGTGGCAGATGTGGGAACCAGGCTCAGTGACAGGGGACACTGGGCAAGAAGAAGGCAGGAAGCAAGACCCCCGGAGGGGCACCAGGGCACCGCATGCCAGCCGGGCATCGTGGCCACGCAGCCTCTCCTACCCCCTGGGCCCGGCCGACGCAGGTGCAGAGGAAACGCTGCTGTCGGAGTCGGAGGCAGAAGGCGGCTCGTGTCCCCACGTCTGCCGCTTGCTCAGCGATCCTGAGCCGCTGAAAATCCCTGAGACGGGCATAACCGGGCTGGGGCCCACAGTGACAAAGAGAAACGAGAAAACTGACAACGAGAGGGACCTTTCCTGCCAGCCAGCAAAAGTCAGGCCTGTGCAAACGGAAAGGGAGAGTCCTGGCCCCAGGAAGCAGAATTCCAGGAATAGAGTCAGCTTCAGGCACAGCCAGATCCAGGGACTTGAGTCATGTCACCAGACTTTGGTCACACTCCCTCCTTGGCCTGTCCACTCCTCCATTCACATTCTCCCCGAGGTGGCCTGCTGGCTGCCAGGAGTCCTACGATCGTCCCTGTGATCCGAGACAGCAGAAGGAGCTGCCCCTATCCACGTCCCTGGCAAAGGCCGCAGCGCAGGCTGGATCGGCTCTCCTAGGCCCGTAGCGGGTCGGAAGGCCAGCTGCGCCCGCCCCTCCCAGCCTGGGGTCGGGCACTGTCTGCGGAGCGCGAGCAGAGGCCAATCCCCAGTGAGGACCAGGCTGGTGCCCACGAGGGGCAACAAGAGTCAGCTCCACTGGTGCCTGTCCTTCCGCCCAGATCCTCCCCTTCCCCCCCCTGTCCCCAGGCCGCCCCTGGGTGGCAAGCTGCCCTGCCTTCTGGCCTTGGCAGTGGGCCCTGTGGAGACCAAGGGCGGGAGGCCAGGAGCTGCCCAGGCCCTGGAGGGGTGCTGGCTTCTCAGGGTGACCCTGCCCCGCCCCTACAGGGGTCTACCAGGCTGGACGGCCCTCCTGGCCTTGGCGTAGGTGGGAGGCTGGGGCCACTGCACGGTGCGCGACCCTGTGGGCCCCTCCAGGCCCTGAACTGCGCTTAAAGGGCACCTACAGCGAGCCGGGCACCGAGGCCCACGCCTGTAACCCCAGGGGCTGGGGAGGCTGAGGCAGGAGCATCCCGAGTTCAAAGCCAGCCTCAGCAACGGTGAGGCCCTAAGCAACTCGGTGAGACCCTGTCTCTAAATAAAATACAGAATAGGGCTGGGACGTGGCTCAGTGGCCCAGTGTCCCTGAGCTCAATCCCTGGAACCCTCCCTCCAAAAAAAGAAAAACCAAAAACCCAGCTACGGCGGTGAACCTCCTGGTGTCAGGCCTGGGGCCCGCCAGGGTGTCTCGGGGTTTCCATAAATCTCAAAGGCACTGTGTCCCAGCAGGGTCTGCGTCTGGTCCCCTGGCCCGGATCAATGTGTACTCAGGGGTGCTCAGGACAGCGCAGGGACGGGGCGAACCTCAGATGCCCCCAGGCCTCGGGTGCTGACGATGCAGCTGGTGACCAGGCTGGGGGCAGGGAGGGCAGGGAGCCGGGTACAGGGACGCCAGGCAGAGTGGAGGACGCCCACTGCCCCTTCCTGCTCAGGAACTGAGTCATCGGGCAGCTGCCGGCCTCCTGCACCGGGGACGCCGGGTGAGGCCAGTGCCGTGCTCTGCACATGGAGGACCTGAGCTGGCGGGAGGAGGGGCTGTGTCCCCCTCCCCAGGAGCCGCACTGGGCCCCTGTCTGGGCAGAGGATCCGCAGGCCTCGCCCGGGGTTTAGCGGCCACGTTAGAAACTGAAGAAAAACACAGGTGAAGCTGGTTCTCGATTCTCATGGGCCCCAGCTGATCCAAACTGTCGTCACTGTGATCCACGTTAAGAACGGTCCCCGAGACACTCACGTCCTTTTCACGTTGGCGTTTCTGGGGTCCACTGGCAGCCCTCTCCACGGCCACGTCTCCTCTGCAGCAACACGATGTCCCCTGGTGTCTGGAGACTGTTCCAGGCCCCACCTCTGGAGGGGCCCTGAGCACAGCCCGGCCTCCCGCCAGCTCAGACCAGGGGACAGAGAGTCCCGGCCACTCGCACAGCGTGGACATTTCTCTACTGGGCGGGCCGAGCCCTCGGGCCAGGGAGCTGGGCCTGGGGACAAGGAGGGCAGGTGCCCACAAGCTGCCCTTGGCCTGCCGCAGCCCCGGGTGAGTCTCAGGCCCTTCCCTGGACATCCCGCCTGTGGTCAGCACTGCCCCGGCTCCTGATCGAGTCCAGGTCGGTCCCCATCAAGTCAGTAAGACGCGGCCCCTGGGCTCCGGCCATGCTCGGCTCCAGCCCGGATCAGCACAGGCCCAGGGCAGCCGGGGAGGACGCGGGGAAACAGAGCCGTTTTGTTTGGAAGGACGGCGCCAAGGGGCCCCTGCTGGGTCCCTGGTGGAGCGTCTGTTTCTTCCTCTGGTCCAGGGCGGGCACTGTGCCTGGCCAAGGGCGCGTCACCACCAAGACAGACCCAGGGGACCAGGGGACGGAGGCCCGGAGCAGGCTGGGCGTCCAGGGAGCAGAGCCCGGGCTGGAGGGAGGAGAAGCAGAGGTCTCCTGGGGCCTCAGGCCAGTTGGTGACCTGGTGGGACACTGTGAGGAAGCCCGGCCAGAAGGCCACGCGCCTCCTCTAACGTCCAGTCACCAGATGGAGATTCCCAAGCACCAAGAAAGCAACGTGCCACCCAGCACAGAGCCCCAGGGCTGCTGAGCGCAGGGTGCAGCGTCCAGGGTTCTGGGGGCCAGGAGCTGGCTAGCTCAAGGCCAGGCCATGCTGAGGAGGAGCCCCACCGCAAGACTCAAGGCTATGTCTCTCAGCCCCATCTCGTAGGTGAGGAAATGGAGGGCCAGAGAGGTCGCACCACCCACCCAAAGTCACACAGCTCAGGACCAGAAACGGCTCCACTCAGGTCTGCTGGGCCCGTGTCTGGCGGGATCGTCCCCCCCCCCAGTACAGTTGACAGGTGCCTTCACTGGAACAAGAGGGCAGAGTGAGCCTCAGCAGAGTCCCGGGGTGGGATGGGGCGGGAATCACAGGCCCTCTGGGGTGGCAGCCTCCTCAGAAAGAGGCCAGGAGAGGCCCGGACTGGAGTCCTGGAGAGGCCTGACCTTCCTGGGCAGCCAGGGGCTCCGCGTCCTCAGCCGGCGCTTCCCAGCCAATCCCAGGGTGACAGCCACAGCCCTTCACCAGCAAGTGTCCTGGAGCCATTTCTTGCTGGTCAGGAAGCAGCTGGTAAATGAGGGTCACAGCTGTCCCTGTTGCCACCCAGGCAGGGCGGACCCCACGGTCAGTAGCGCCTCAGGGGACTGCACACCAGGAGAGGAGGGGGCCAACAAGGGACCATGGCGGGTGGCTGGGACTGTCACAGGCCCCAGGGGGGCGGCCGTGCCTGCTGAGACGGGAAGCCCCAGCCTCCTCCCCGATGGAGATGTCGTCCAGCACCCAGAGGGGACCCAGGAGAGACCCCAGCACGAGTCCCACGGGGACAGCGAACGGGCGACGTCCAGCCGGGACTCTTGACCCCAGAACCTTCCCAGGGCAGTCCTGCCCCAGGAAATAAAGAGAAGGAGGGGGACAGGGAGGAGAGAGGGGACAGGGAGGAGGGGAGGGGGACAGGGAGGAGGGAGGGGGACAGAGGGGAGAGGGGGGACAGGGGGGAGGGGAGGGGACAGGGAGGAGGGGGGTCATGGAGCCTGCGGGGCCATCTTGTGGCCTATTTCTGTGCAGCCTGCAAACTAAGAATGATTCTTATGTTTTTAAAGATGTAAAAATCAAAAGCCAAGCACAGGAAACAGCAGCACCCACCACG